CATTACTAGTTCGTGACCGTTGCATAGTTTCTTATCTTATTCTTGTATCCGTAAGTTATCCACCATACAATGCTTAGCTGCTTGCTGCAACCCCACCACTTACCCTTTCCATACCCATTAAGCTTTGCTAGTCTTGATACCCATGGTAATGGGATTGCTGAGTCCTCGTGGCTCATACATTACTACAACAACAGTTGCAGGTATAGGTAATGCGATGCTCATGACGTGAGAGCGATGCTCGATTGTTTTGGAGTTCTCTTGCTTCTTCTTCGATCAAGGGGTAGGTTCCAGGTCGGGGGAACCTGGGATTAGCAGGGTGAATGTCATTCTTCTTTTTTGTTTGATTTCATCCGTAGTCGGATCCTGCTCTTCTGTATGATGGTTATTATGTATTGATGTATTGTTGTATGAATGTTGTAACTAGTGGTGAGTGTAAGCCTTTATCTTGTATTCTCATCCACTCAGTACATGGTATGTTGTAATGATATCCACCTTGCTATGCGCTCAAAATACGGTTGTGCCCCAATCATAAATTCATCACGTGATTGGGATAGAATCATATATTGGGCACTACAAGTTGGTATCAGAGCCTTACCGACCTTAAGAGCCACCTTGATTGATCGAACTACTGCCGTTGTTGAGTCTATAACTAAAATGTTTTGAGTCTTCGGATTATATATATCAGAGAGTAGGATTCTTTTTACTCCTCAGCCCCCTTCGTCGCTCTGGTGAGGACTCCTGATGTAGATGTTTTGATTACCCTCTCGTCATTTTCACTCAAAATTTTTTTTAGGATCGCGCGGGTATTGTTGGATCATTCCGATATTCTTGTGACAAGAACATTGTTCTTGGTTCCTCCTAACATTTAGGGGTTGTGGCAGTGTCCCTGGGAGTTGAGCTCCGAGGTGTTGTCGTCACAATTTTATCGTTGCAATTCTGGAATGCCTGAGTTCGCCAACATCGAAAATCTGTTTTATGCAGTTATCGATGAGATAACCTCGACGCCACCCAGTACTGGGGAGGGAGTTCGGGAGTATTGCCACAACTCGTATAACGGATGCTTTTTGAAGGTTGACGTACACGATTTCTGGAGTTTTCTTGGTTATGTGTTGACGGATGGATACAACCGGAGTGTATGGCTTGTTAGTTGTGTGATATATATTGTGCCTCCCTGTATCCCCAACACCAGATTGCATAACCAGAAAGTTTCGGGCGTTTATAGGTGGGAATTCAAGTATCATGTAGGAATTCTTTCCAACAGACACATGATACGATATGGGGTCTATCATATGTTTGTTCCGGCATATTCTACAAGCCAATCCTTTATTTTGTTTTGAGTTGTTGTATTTGAGTTGCTTCATTGTCAAATGTTGATTCCATACCTTTCCTAAGAGGTGTTCTCATGTTTCTATGGGAATACTAATCCTTCTTGATCATCGAGATTGTCATGTTAATTATTTTTCGACCGGCGTGCTTCTCTTCAAGTGGATCCGATCATTTCAACATCCGCAAGATCAATTCTAAGTTTTCTCAATGGTGTTTGTTTCATCCGTCCCCAAGTTGCCTTTATTTTCTCGCCCTCCCACCCTTTTTCTTTAAGGACTCAGATTTCTTAATCAAGTATCCTTTTTTATTGATGGGAAGCCTCTTCATTCCTTTCCTTCAATGTTCTTACTCGGTGATTTCTCATGGAGATGCTCAGGAGCTATAAGTTCATCATTCTTCGTTCTCATTTTCTTCCCCGGTGGACTCAATTAAAGCTTTCGGTGTTGATCATATTCCTTTTCCTCGTTTCAAATGATTTTGCATGCTGGTGCATCCCCCTAATCATTCACCTCTCGCTATTCATTTGCTCCGGAGTGTTGAAGATATCTCAGAAGATTCGCGTTTCCATTCTTAATCTGTTCAAGTTTTTTAGAGGTTGTTATCTCATTCAAGCCATTTAATCAACCGGTGCAATCTCTCTTTCGAGTAATAGTCCAATGGTGTATCTTTGAGTGGGCCATAACCCAGAGGTCTTTTCGAGGATCATACCTGACTCTTCTAATTTTTTCGGAGCTATTCTCAAATTCTTTCCAAAGTTGATGTAAGAATGGATTCCATCAGTCATATGCCTTCTCCAAGATCATTTTCAAATTCTTTTCATCATTGGCTCTATCTTTCTATTCTTCATTATTCTAGAGTGTCTAAGCAATCCATGGTGGTTCTCGTCGTTATTCTAAGCTTTCAAGCTGAAGAAGATTTTCTCTTAAATCTTGCTCCGTTCTCCTAAAGAATTGTGGTTCTAGCTTCATGCCATACTCTCATAATTGTTTTCGACTGTGGGAATTCTATTCACCCATCCGACACATTTCAGGAGTTGATTTTCCTCTCTCGATCATCCGAAGGCCATCATTTCTGAATAATACTCATTCTCAGCTTTCAGCTCTCGTTCTCCAAATGTACTGGTGCATCGTTCAAGTATACTCTAGTCAGCTCATGATCCATTCATTCTCATGTATCTAAATTCTTTCAAGTATCTTTATTCATTTCCTAATTCTTCCTAGAGATTTGTTCTCTTTGCTTCGTTCATTTTCAAATTCTTACGGTGGTTCGTTCAAGATTTCTCTTCCCTTGTGTTCGTACCAATTCATTTGTTCTTCCCAAAAATCCTACCGGTGGTTCGTTGAAGGCCTTATCCAAGTTTGCGCTACATATCTCCTCAATCCTTTTGAAGAGGAATAAGTTGCATGCGAAATCCGTTGCTTGTCATCAATGAAAGTTGATGAAGGGTAAGCATGACATAATTCTTATTCTTATTTCATCGAGGTGATTTAATTCGTTATCCCGGAGGCGCATCAAAATCCTCGGTTCAAGTGTTTCATATTTTTCCTTTCCGGAGTTCCAAGTTTTCTTGGTTATATCGTCGCAAAGCTCCATCTAAATCATTGCAAGGCTTCACCTTGTGTTTTCAACTTCTCTTTCTTTCTATCATCCTTTTATTACCATAGTTCTTCATGGAGGCTCTACATGATGGTTCATCAAGGATTTAATTCATTCTCGAAATGTTCGCCAAGATTCTTATTGGAGGAGCTCAAGCATCTTCATCTTGCATTCTGAACTGCAATTGTTCTCCATTATCTTTCAAGGTGGTGTTATGTCATTCTTGATAATTTCCATTCGTGTTTCATGATTCGCATGTTTTCAAGAATGAGATATTTAAACCCATCATTTTCTTCCTTGGAGTTATATTGGTATAGATTTGACCTAAAGCCTTCCCTAAGGAATGTTGCTAATTGGGGTGCTTAACAATGATCCAAGTTATCTCTTCATCATCTTGGTGGAAGAAGTTTTTCATGTCTTTGGTGCTCTCACTCAAATCAATGGTTTCCATTAGTGGCCGTTTGTCACCTCATAATGTTGAGATGTTTCCATAAGCCCACTACAAACTTATTCTTTTCGTTGTTGTTTTTTCAACAACTCCGTTCAATCCTACTTTTAAGGATGATCTCTCAATTTGATGTGAGGTACAACATGTTGTTTTCTCTCGGTTCTTTTCATTCCTTTCTTTCGTTTCTTCCGGAGGCAGTGTGATGTTGCTCTCTTCGACCCATCATCTTGTTTTGTCAAGATCATATTCTTTTCTTGCTAATCCATTTAACCGGAGTGTTGTGTCCTCTGCTCAAGTTCTTTTCATCTTATCAAGTCTTTTATCTCATTTCAACCAGAGTTGTTTCAATTCCTTCTTGTCTATTGTGCCCGTCATTCATAGCTTTGGAACCTCCAAGGTTCACATGGTGTTCCTTGTTTCTCTTTTCTATCGGAGTGCTCTCAATTTCGTTCAACTCTTTGTGTTCTTTATTTCAAGTTTCCAACCTCTCAAGGTTCATTGGTTTCACTCATTTGTCATCAAAGAAACTTTGTCTTACCTCTTCCTCTTCCGTTTTGCTTTGGTGCTGTCCTTAGATCTCGGGTCAAGATCTCTTGTAAGTGGAGGAGAGTTGTGACGCCCCAAGACCGACTCTCTAGATGCCTTCCATGGATTTCGAGATTCGTCGTGTGATTTGTTGGTTTGTTGCGTTCATCATTGCATCATGTGCATTGCATCATGTCATCTTCCACCCCCTTTTTAAAAACTCAACTAAATAAATTGTATGGGTCTCCGATCCATTTAAATCGAGGGAAATTCACATGGTGAAATTCTCTTTAAAACATATAAAAGTCTCCCAATATCATTAGGGAGATATATTAAATACTCCATTGTTTTGGAATTAACCATAACACACTTGCAAATGAATCCCATGCATTTCTATCTAAATCCTTGACCTCAACTTTGCCCATAATTATTTCATCACTTTCCCGAGCTCCACCTTAAACCTCATCATTTTTGGACCTCCCTATTACCTACTTCCTATGCAAAACCATTTGAACTAAATTCGAATGAGTTGGATTCAAACTTCACCCACATGTTCATTTCATTTTTCTTGGATGAAGCTCATTTTAGTGAGTCTAGGAAATTTATCCGCGTGTCCAACTTATTCCCCTAACCCATCTTTCTTTTTCTTCTCTTGAATTGTTTTTGCTAAAGAAAATAAGAGAAGGGAGGGAGAGAGAGCCTGCACCCACCGGCCTCTTGGGCCTGACTGCCAGGCCGGCCCATTTGCACCGAGGCCTCCCAGGCCCACCTAATCCTAACCCTAGCCGATCCCCTGCTCTCTCTCTCTCCCGATCCCTTGACCCCTCCTCCTCGTTCCCTTCCGCTGCCACCACCCACGCACGCAGGAGCCTTGGCTCGATCCCCTTTCCCCTCCTCTCGTCTCCTTCCTCGCGCCAGGGAGAGGAGCTCCCTCGTCCCCGCCATCGTTCGATTTGAGGACGTCCTGCCCAGCATGCTTTCGCACTCGTCGGCGACCTCCACCGCCGCCCTGTTCGCGTGAGGCCCCGGCTCGCTGGAGCGTGCCGCCAGTAGTAGGTCGCCGCCTCCCCTTCCCTTTGTCGCAGTCGCCGCCTTCCACCGTGAATCAGGCCACCGCCGAGCCATCTCGCCAGATGCCCGCGCCGGCGACCTCCTCGTCGCCTCCCTGTGGCCTCATTCCTGTCTCCCGCATTGGTCCCCGCTGCTTCTCCGGGGCATGGAGCCATGGACGCCACCTGCTCACCTTGCCCTCCGCGTGCGTGTGTGCCAATGCCCATCCGTTGACATCCTCTGCTCCTCCAGTTGCAGAGCGCACCACCACTGCGAGTCTTCCTCCTGCCGTGTTCGGGCCCCCATGGCCATCAGCTCAAGCCACCACAGCCTCGAGTGCTCTTGAACTCCTATCGGGATGTTCTTGCTCCGACCACTACCACGAGCACCATGTTTTCTTTGCTGCCATTGTGCACCCCCGGCTGCTTCCCACTGCACAATCGCTCTGTTTACTTCCTCGCGGATCGTCTAGACCACCCTTTTCAAGACCGGCAAGTTCGACTTACGCACCAAAATGCCAAGTACACCGCGCCGATGCCAAATACGACTACACAACCAGAATGCGACAAGTACCCCGACAACGTGTACATCTACACCGCCAAGACCTAGACCACCCTGAACCACATCATCTCGTCGGATCATCAAGACCATCTCAGTTCTCGCGAGTACCTCTACTCCCAAAGACGTTGGATTCCCAAGTTCCACCACAAGAGGTACCACTACCATCGCCGAAGACCCGTGTAACGCAAGCATCAAGTTTGACTAGCCTTGTCGTGTACAACTACCGTCGACCCCAAGTTACTCGGATTCATCAAGTTCCTATCTGAAACGAACATGTACGACTACTTCCTCTATGAACCCGAACCGCTCCAAGAATGCACTCTAGGAAGGTATAACCACGGAAACGATGACCGTGGACGAATTCTTGTGATGTGTTGTATGAGATGCCCGTGTTTGCACCATGTCCGAATTGATCCTTGCACGTTCCTCGTTTCCTTGCCACCGTCATGTGGGACACCCGGTTACCGGGAGCACCCCACCATCTCTTGCGTGTTCCACACATCTGCACACTTCTCTTTTGAATCGGTATCTCAATTGAGTTACCAGAACCGATATGTTGTCGTGGCACCCTTTTCGTTCCGCCATGGTGACCAAATGCTTCCTAACATGCTCATGTGACTTTTTCATAAAATTGCATCCAACCATGAATATGTCATTTGCATCATGATAACAACATTTAAATGTTTAAAATTCGTGTTTGCTTTATTTGCTAAGTGCATGTGGGGATTTACCGGAATTGTTGTTTGTTGTTTCCGGCCTCATTTAAACTTGCCTAATTAGATAGTTTCTTTATGCTTCACCCCTTGCCATGTTTAATAACATTTAATCTTGTTGGGTACATAAACGAGAGTTAACTTATTGAGCTCCACTAAACTTGTAATTTTGTATGTTGCAAATTGCGATGCCATCCCTCATTAAACCAGACATGCATCATACTTGATTGTGCATCATGCCATGATTATGTGATGGTTATTCACTATGTTGTTTCCTTCTTTCCGGTTGCGCTTCTCCTTGATAGTTCCGGTTATGTCGTGACTGTGAGGATCCATTCGACTACGTTGGTTCGTCTACTTCATGGATTCGGTCTTCTTCCTAGAGGGATTTCAGGCAAGATGACCGTTACTCTGGATACCACTAGTATCTTTGCTTTGCTGGTTGTCTCGATGCTATCTCCATGTCGCGCTAAATACCACTTGTTTGTCAAGCCTCCCAAATTGCCATGATAATCCTCTAACCTTTTACACCATCCCATCAACTTGGTGTTTGGCTATCTTAACGCTTTGCTCAGCCCCTCTTATAGCGTTGCTAGTTGCAGGTTGTTCCATGTTGGGACATGGATGTCATGGGATATCACAATATCTCTAATTTAATTAATGCATCTATATACTTGGTAAAGGGTGGAAGGCTCGGCCTTTTGCCTGGTGTTTTATTCCACTCTTGCCGCCCTAGTTTCCGTCATACTAGTGTTATGTTCCTTGATTTTGCATCCCTAACACGATGAGAGTTTATGGTCCCATCAAATTTTGTTCTAGGGCTTTCACCACATCATCCGCTACACCACCATAGCCTTCCGCAACCTAACCAATTTTGTTCCCCATCGCATTAGTGGTTGCTTGAGGAGTGATTTGAGTCTCCTAAGGTGTCTAGGCTACTTAGGGACGGTCGCTTCTTCATCAACCACCACCACCACTTCCGCATAGGCTTGACCACTATACACTCCGACCACCCAACTTAACCCAATTTTGCTTGTGTTGTGAGTTGTGTCTCCTAAGGTGTTTCGGCTACTTAGGGCCCGTGCTTCCAACTCCGACACGGTGTATAGTCCACCACCTTACCTGTGTGCTACGGTAGTTGAACCCATTTCCTCTGCATGACCTGTCATTGCCACAGTAACTAGATGAAACCCACTAGCATGTGTAGGAGTTGTTTGAGCCATATGTATGTGTTGTTCCTACCTTGCTATGCCTGCTATGCTTAGAGTTGTGTCAGGTCTGGTTCATCTGGGTGATGGGCTAGAGTGAAATGATTATGTCGGTAATGAGAGTGGTGTAGTGAACACGATTTGGTAAAGGTATCGATGAGAGGCCATGTAGGAGTACAGAGGCTTGGAAGCCTAACTATACTATGTGGTCCATCACAAGCTCAGGGTCACCACCTGGGTCTTTAGCCTACTCGTTGATGTCAACGTCTACATAGAACCCATCAGAAGGGGTTGCAGCGTCTTCTGTAAAAATGTAGATTATAGCAACATGAGTACAAAGGTACTTAGCAAGACTTACATCAGACCCTACATACATGCATAGTATCAAGAAGGGTTGGTGGAGTTATTGCAGCAAGCCAGCTTTGACTCCTGGCTAGACTATCCTACGATACTCCATTTGAAATAGTTTTGCGCACTCGAGTCCACTATTCACCACTTCAATACACTACCGAGGATCCACCTCCGTCTTCCTACGGAAGAGCCATCCTCGGCACTCACACTTATCTTGAGGCTTTTAATAGTTTCCATTTACTTGTCTATGAACTGTATAGGCAACCAAGTAGTCCTTTACCGCGGACGCGGCTATTCGAATAGATCATGATAACCCTGCAGGGGTGTACTTCTTCATACACGCTCTCACCACTTATCGTCGCTTACACGACATGTACTCGGCAACCTTCAAGCGGAAGCCCAACGTGGGTGTCGGCCACGACCTACCTAATCACCTAAGCCTCCAGTCCAGGTTTATCGCCTATTCAGGTTCCATCCGCAGGGAGTCCGGCCGAGGTTTCCCATACGGCCCCGAACGATGTGAACAGGGTTCCCGAGATACCTAACGGGTATTCGGTACACCGTGCCACGTACCTACCGCATCACGGCCCACCCCTACGGTCAGCGCTGTCCACGGCCTCCAGTAGGCTACAAACACCAGAAACTACTTGCAACTCCTGGACGGAGAACTAGGGTGAATAAGAAGTCGAGAGGGTCCATTGGTTTCGGGCCCAATGCATGGTAGTAGCTGATTCTTAAATCACACATACAGATCTCAGTGCTTAAGGTCGGCCTCAATGAAACAACCCACCATGTACTCCTACATGGCCTCTCATCGATACCTTTACCAAATCGTGTTCACTACACCACTCTCATTACCGACATAATCATTTCACTCTAGCCCATCACCCAGATGAACCAGACCTGACACAACTCTAAGCATAGCAGGCATAGCAAGGTAGGAACAACACATACATATGGCTCAATCAACTCCTACACATGCTAGTGGGTTTCATCTAGTTACTGTGGCAATGACAGGTCATGCAGAGGAAATGGGTTCAACTACCGTAGCACACAGCAGTTTGAAACGTGTTGTCTTAATGCAGTAAAAGAGAGCAGGAGCGAGAACATGGGATTGTATCGATATGATCAAATGGTTGGTTGCTTGCCTGATGGTTCGATGCACTGATATGGTTCTTCGTTAGGGTAATCACGGTACTCCTCGGGGGCAGAACCTGTCGCAAGGACACCGATACACAACCATCACCAAACAATGTGCAACAATATGATGCATGCATGAAACATAGCAATATGAGTGTGTTGGACTAATGCAACTAAAACCAGAAGGGTTTGAACAAATTTGAATCAAAGATTCAAATTTCAAACTCAAACATGGCCTCTTAAAGTGATTTTCCTTGTTCTGCTAGAAACATCAATTTAACTTGTTTGATCATGCATGAAAATAGTACAGATGGATAGATTGGATTTTTCTGATCATTTTTCATATATAATTTGTCCAATTTGGAGTTACAGAATAAAAGTTATGAATTTTTGAAGTTTAAATAATATTCTGGAATTTCCTGATTTAAATTAAATTCAGAAATTATAATTACTGCGCCAGCATGACGTCAGCATGACGTCAGTGGTCAACTGCGGCTGGCTGGAGTCAAACCTGACGTGTGGGGGCCACACGTCAGTGACAGGGGGGTTTAACAGGTTTAATTTATTCCTAATTAGGGGTTAGTGGCGCTGGGGCCCACTGTCAGTGTCAGGGGGTTAACCATTTGTGGTTAGCACTAATCCTAATTAGCTACAGGGCTGGGCCCACCTGTCAGGGACTCAGGGGGGTCCTGCCGTGGTCAAAGTGGGTCAAACCCACCGGCGACGTGACGCCGACGAGGCCCGAGACGGCGGCGTGACGCGGGATCGCGCTACAGGGCACGGGCGAGGCCGTGCTTGGGCTCGTTGGAGAGCCCTTGCTCCCGCGCGTCGAACGGTGGCCGTGGCTGGGCCTGGGGTGGCCGGAGTCGACGGCGGCGAGCTCGGCTGCGGCCGCCGGAGTTCGGGTACGGTCGGAATCGGCGTTGCAGGGGGTTTGGGGAGGCGTTAGTGCGTGCTGCGTGCTCCTAGTGAGGTGTGGAGCACGATAGTGTGCTCGGTTGGGTGCTACGGTGACCGTGGCCACGACGGCGACTTCGCCGGCGGCGTGGAGCTCTCGGCCAAGGTGGGGCTAAGGCCTAGAGGTTGAAAGAGACCAGGGGAGAAAGGGGAAACGACCCGGGGGCTCACCGCGGCTGCAGTGGGCGTCGAAGCGGGCTCGGAGACGCGCTGGAGACGGCGAATTCGACGGCGATGATGGTCGGAGCCTGAAGAGGGGAACGGCGACGTGGCGGCGATGCAGGGCTTCCGGAGGCCCGTGGAGCGGTGGGGAGGAAGAGGGGGTCGAGGCGAAGCTTCTGAGCTAGTCGGGGGAGCGAGGGGTGGCTGGAGACGGTTGCTATGGCGAACGGCGGCGACGGTGGTGTTCGGCCGTGAGCTGTAGCACTGGGCTAGCAGGACTCCGGTAAACCAGGCTGTAGCAGGCTAACAGGACTCCGGTACTCAAAGCGTGACATTTCCCCGAAGGGACAGACACAGGAACGAAGAAGGACACATGCCGGCCAGCCTAAGTGTTCCAGAGCAGTAGTAAGCTACCATGGCTCAGCGGTAACACTAGGAGACATTTCCCGGTAAGAGAGGCTACTAAAGATAAACAACTAGATAGTCAGATCCCACACATACCAAGCATTTCAATCATACACACAATATGCTCGATATGTGCAAATACAACGAAGCATCACAACATGACTCTACGACACAAGTACTTTATTTAAGGCTCAGGGAGCCATACATAACATACACAAAGGTACGGGTCTCACGACCCAACATACAAGTCATACAGTCATACAAACCAGCAGCGGAAGTACATTGTTTGAGTACAGACAATTAGTAAAATAAAAGAGGCTTGGAAAGCCTAACTATACTACGTGGTCCATCACAAGCTCAGGGTCACCACCTGGGTCTTTAGCCTACTCGTTGATGTCAACGTCTATATAGAACCCATCAGAAGGGGTTGCAGCGTCTTCTGTAAAAATGTAGATTATAGCAACATGAGTACAAAGGTACTCAGCAAGACTTACATCAGATCCTACATACATGCATAGTATCAAGAAGGGTTGGTGGAGTTATTGCAGCAAGCCAGCTTTGACTCTTGGCTAGGCTATCCTATGATACTTCAATTTGAAATGGTTTTGCGCACACGAGTCCACTACTCACCACTTCAATACACTACCGA